ACCTATACACGGACATGTGTGGAGATTGTCTGACCTATACACGGACATGTGTGGAGATTGTCTGACCTGGACACGGACATGTATGGAGATTGTCTGACCTATACACGGACATGTGTGGAGATTGTCTGACCTGGACACGGAGAGTCAAAGTACACTGTGGATCCTCATCTGGGATAACGGGATTGACCATATAGTCAATTTCAGCTTCTGCATCATCTGGATGTTGATCATCGTTTTCATTTAATATGGCAGCAATTTGCCATGCTTTAGCCATATATTTACGATCCGACAACGGTAAAAAGGTGCAAACGTTCAGGAAATGAGAGTGATTGCAACCTGCTGCTTTGCACCAGGTTGCCTGGGAACTTGACTCTGAGGTCGATCAAATCTTGCTGTTGTTGTGCGCAGGACATGTACTTCCTCTGAGGCATGAATTTCATCTCGAAGCAATGACAGGGCTTGAGAAATATTGGGTCTTTGAAATTCAAGGCCATACCTCTGTTTAACAAGTTTTGAAACGTCTTTGTGAATGTGTTGCAACCACAACAGGACAAGGTTTTCCTTGGGTGAGATCCTCGTCCTCTCCAATTTCTACTCCATGATGAGATATCCCCCCATTTTGACAGGGCAGTTTTTCATCTATGACTGCCGATATTTGCTGATATAGATCTTCTGGACGCTCATTAGGCTGGAGGTGAATGTCACACAAGTCAAGAAAATGACCCCTGTGGATTGAAATCCAAAAAGAAGTCGGACTATCTGCCAAATTTTAACAATGGAAGTGCTGTTTTCAACCATGGTGTTTCTTGAAATTATAGTGCAATAATTTGTGATTTGACCCAATGAATTACAAGCATGTTCACTTTCTGCTTGGCAGAGCGCTGCTGTTCCCAAGGAATGTTCTCCCCATCAAAACATTCCCCACAAAAAGGTTTGTTTCCAGAACATTTCAACCATTTGACGCAGTCGACAAGTATAGTGCAAAGTTTGGGTCCAACGAGAGAGTCTATATCTAGTTCTATCTCCAATTATTGAACATGTTCACAGTTTCTGATTTTTATAAACACCATTGCTTAGGGGCATGATGTGTTCGAGCCACTTGTCAAATTCACCCAATATCTGAATGCCTCTCCAGTCACATATAAAACCTATATATAAAGTCAACACATGCCTCAGATATAGTCCGTAAGGAGAGGTGGGTATTATTGCTGCCACCACGCCAAGGTGAGACACTAACCAGTGACAAGGTCTTCAAGGGGATGGCAAACACTTTATTGCCCAAATACAAGCACTACAACATCCGTAGATAAATACAAGATGGTCCCCGGAAGAGATGCAGACAGCACTACCTTCACAACTGATAATAACAACAACATAACAGGTCTACCTGCATCAAATTAAATGTTTACTTTGTGAAAATAATATCAACAGATTTCGAGAGGTTTCCTCGCTAACGGATGGACTAGGAAAAAAACATGGGATAAACACCCATCACATAAGCTTACAGTTCTGTACCCTTTTCAAGTTTAGGTCAAGACAGTGTTAATAGTAACCAGCTGTAAAACTGAGACATTGTTTGTATGTATGTAAATAGTATAATCAGTAACTGCTAGATTCATAAACACCATATAATTCAAGTTAACAAATAACAATGGTGTGGACATCCCTTTTGAAAAGGAGGGGTGCATTTTCAGACAAGATAACGTAATCTGCAAAAGATGAAAACAAGAAATTTGCATTCATATTTATATTTTCTATTTCTTTTATGTAAATAAAACACCAAATGATTTAGTTAGGCTACATTATTGATGTTTGTTTACACTTACTATACCTAATCACCTATAACCTTTAAAGAACCGCCTCCGTGGTCTAGTGGTAGAGCATCCGCCCGGAGAGCGGAAGGTCCGGGGTTCGATCCTGGCCGGGTCATACAAAAAGACTTTAAAAGATGGTACTTGTTGTTACCCTGTCTGGCGCTCAGCATTAAGGGGCCAAAAGAAGAACTGGTCGGCTTGGAGTCAGTATACTGTGTCTGAGTGCGGTATTCATGTTAAACTGCAGCATGGTATCTCAGTTGGGTGTCTCTATAAATCAGTCCAGACTAATACAAGCAGCCACACATACAAACATGTGCATGCATGTCGCAATATAAGTGCAATAATCTTGGATGCGACGTTAAACCCCATTTCACTTCACTTCCCTTTAAAGAAATGTACTTATATGTTAAAGATGAGCTCCACTCATGAACACCCCCAGCCCCAACCACCCCTGGCTCTGATTTTCAAGGTCTGTACTAACAACTTTCTTTGCTCCTTTTGCCCATGTATTGAATATCCAAATGAATTGCCATTAAGAAACATTTAACAAGACAGCCATTTTCCCTGTAGAGCAGAGCAAATCACGATCAAGAAGATTCCCTATGCAGGCTATTTATAGACAGAAGTTTCCTGCAGCTGCACATGCACAGTAGCAGGAACCTAGCGATGTTATTGATGTAAAGTTCGGACATTTACATGTCCACAACACACCCATCAATTTCAAAGGCAAACTGGACAGATTTTTAAAAAATGTGACATATTTGCCATGGGATCAACTTCATTAATTTATATAGAGATGAGGATTGCTTGTTCTTCATGATTGGAATGACAATGGACGGGGTCAGATCATAGGTTTTCAGAGTCAAAAGACTTTTTTATATGGAATACCTCTACATTTTCTAACACTTCCAGTGTAAATTTGATGCTCTATGTTTATTGAGTCTTTTACACCTAAACTTGATATAAAACAAAGACAGAGAGTAATTCTGTCTGCACATGTTTTTCAGATCAAGCAAAATGGATTGATATAGTGATTGTTTGCAAATGTGATGATATCTTTGAATGATCTTTTATCAATGATATTCATTGCATTGCCAAACAAAATAAAATATGTAATGCCAGTATTGCATCATGTTTTTGCTTTTTGGGATAGGTCCTGAGTAGGGCCCAGGTACACGACTACCAGAGTAGTCCCGTATTATACTGTTTAATAACATTAACAATAAAACTCCATGTTTACACAAGAAGTCGCTAATGATTGCATTTCTTTCTGACTATGCAAGCATTCATTCCGACTTGTATATGTTCGAGTAAGGATGAAGCGTCTATCATCTTCAATGTATGCATGATCAGATTATTTTATACTTGTATCTAGATAGTTTTTGCCAGGGATGTGGTAAACAATTCCAATTCAGACATTTTGTACCCAACTCTTAAGACCTATAGTGGGTACCCTGGCAGAGCTGGGTAATAAGGGCATCGGGTACCCGGGTAGTAAACTTTGACTCATCCCAGCCCTACTTGTACTGTTCACATGATTTTTTGTCATTAAACAATATATCAGGTGACTATAACCATTGGACCGGGTAGTTCTGTGGGTACCTAGGTCGTACTCAGGACCCATCCAGACCCGAGTACATGAGTTTACCGTCTTAGTCCTGGTGCTAACAATTTCAAATTTTAATGTATTTTCAGATGTTGAGGGGAACTGACTTATTGCGGTCATGATGATTCATCACATGGATGTATTGGACTCCATGTACAGGACATAATAACAAGCTGTTGTATCTTATATTGAAAAGACCAAGGATCTCTTTTGGAGTCACTGGCACTAATGACCGTCATGCAGAATAAGATCTTTTCACAGTTGACAGTTGTTACAAAAGGATGTACCGTATTCGACAAAATAAGCGCCCCCCTCTAATAAGCGCTCACCGCAATATTTGCTAATATATTGGCTAGTGAACAATCCCAATTAGCACCCCTTCCGATTGATCATTGTACACAAGACTTATTTCTTCGTGTATAATACTCACTCGTGTGTCATATGCACCCTTACTTATGGGCAATTAAATTCTGGAAAATATATCTGTCGCACAGACTTTTCTTTTGTATCATTTCAGGCTGTCATCATAAACCACGAAATTTACACTCTTTCTTGTCAACACTTTTTTTTTTCACCAAAAATATATTATAATAAGAGCCCCCTATTTCTAATTTTGAGAGGGCCCTGGGCGCTTATTACGTCAAATACGGTAGTTTTCAGTAAAGCTGTCAGAAGTTTTGATATACATGCATACATGACACAAAAAAAACAACTTTTCTACTTGAACCTTAACAATCTCATTCAAATCAGATCTTAGTTCTCGCTGTCGCTAAACAAAGATATGAGGACATCCCATTAAGGGTCACGTCAGAACGACCTTTCATCCAACCAATCAGAGCGTTGCTTACCAGATCATGAAAGTGACAGTCGGAATGTGTTTTCTAATCATGCAACCACGAAATATTTAACACGGAGTATTCCGAAAGACAGTTACAGGTTTTATGATTATATCCATACATTCTAGGCCATCTATAAGCCATTCCAGAATATTCTTCTTATCAGTTTTGGGTTTTTTTTAATCGAGAATTCATCAAAATATGTTTCGAAGTGAAGTCACCAGTTTGAAACTAGTGTCGTAAAGCTCGAAAAAGCTGCCTTCTGTTTGGCTAATGTTGATTTCTTGTCGGTCATTTCATTGGTCGGTCAAAATTCGCGAAAGGTCGTTCTGACGTGACCCGTAATGGGATGTCCTCAGATCTTTGTTTAGCGTATATAGAGGGGTGTGATATTTTTCTATACTGTACAGGCTATCATCGAGTTCCTGTGACTTGAACGCCAATTGACATGGATTACATCTTTGTTATACTAGTTACGCATATATTTTTTGTATGGAAGGCTTCTGTGTGTATCTACCCTGTTCACCAGATATGCTAGTTTGATTCATTCAAGATTCTGAAGACATTTACTTCTTATTCACTCATGTTTATCTATCGGAGGTCGCCAGCCTTGGTCAGCTCAGCGCAAGCGCAGCCTTTCCAGGGAACCAGGCTGAGATATCACACAGGCGCACGAGTCTCTTAAATGGCAAATAAATAGAAGCACTGATATGAAGTTTAGCAAATGATAATGAGTTGGACCTTTATAAGACGCATTATCTCATCGCAATCATCTTTTTCGGCATGCCTGTAAGTGACGTCCGCCATTCTTGTGTATGACGTTGGTAACCTGTTCATGGACCTCTCAACTAAGCTGGGCCCCGTCTCTAATATCACAATATACGCAAGTTGACGACGCGCATAGGGAGCCGGGAACCAGCTTACCTCTCAACTAGCGCGGCCAAGCTCCTCACAGCGGGTGCAAGCTAAAACGGCACCTCAGCAAAACGTCACCGATTTCTCTGGCGAAAACGGCTACTATGTGTCGAGCGAAAACGGCACCTCTATTTTTATTAATGATAAAACGATTTTTGTAGTAATATATATGGTTTATTTACATGTTCACAGTTATCACAGCATGTTGTTGTTGTTGTTTGCAAGTTACCATATTAGTTTAATAGCACTTATTTGACCAAGGTAAAAAACAAAATAAGGTGCCGTTTTCGCCAGGCAATAGTAGCCGTTTTCGCTTGAGTCAAGGTGCCGTTTTCGCCAATCGGTGCCGTTTTCGCCCGGTGATGTTTTGCTGAGGTGCCGTTTTCGCTATAACCCAGGAACCCCTCACAGCGATAAGTGAAAGTCTGCCACAACCATGCATGGAGTTATCCTCGCAACCGACTGACCGTTAAAAATACAAATACTCTCCAAACCAAGAAGTGATTCATGAAATATATATGTAAATACGGAGGACCTTTAGAATACAGTACCACAACTTCTCGTGAGGACGATCTCTACCGTAGCTCACCTTAGTGGGGCGGTTAAGGCAGGATTTTGTCAAAATTGTGCGCGAGGGTTAAAATCACCTAACGTGGCTCACTTGTACATTGAACCATTCCGAACATTTCTGGATATGGATTGGATCCACCTCAGCAGTGCCACCGGATGGTAGAAAATCTAAATTTTTTGTTTGTTTGTTGTTTAACGCCGCACTCAGCAATATTCCAGCTAAATGACGGCGAGTCTGGTCCAGACAATCCAGTGATTAATATCATGAGCATCGATCCACGCAATTGGGATCAACCAAGTCAGCGAGCCTGACCACCCGATCCCGTTAGTCGCCTTTTATGACAAGCATGGTCACCTTTTACGGCAAGCATGGGTTGCTGAAGACCTATTCTACCCCGGATCTTCACGGGCTGTTTGGTATATAGAAAATACGTATATTTAATTATTTAATCAACAATTGGGTTATATATCCAAGTCTGATTTGGAGAATGCACATGTTATGTCATATGCACCTGGCAGCGCAGCAAGAAAGGACTTATCAGTAGAGTTGCAAAAAAAACCAATCTATTAAAGGATTAACCGATAATATACTCAACAAAAGCAACATCACCCAAAGTAACATACATGAAAAGTTGTCATTTAAATATCTAGGTAATTTTTGTCAAAGTTACTAAAATTTAACATTACCCTGTCCGGAAATATGAAATTGCGGTGATAAAATGAAAAAGCAGATGACAATTAAACCGATCGCCCAAACGCATCACAGTAGTTGTATGCATCAGTGTAGAACCGCTCAGGATTCTGGAACCGCTCAGGATTCTGGAACCGCTCCTGGCTTCTGATTGGTCGAGAGGATCACGTGACCTCTGTGGCGTCACTTCCGGTCACGTGTCCTGCGCAGTGCATGATGGGACTTGCGCGCGCATCCAAGATGGCGGCACTGCCGGTTCCGGTGGCGCGCGCCTCCAAGATGGCGTCGCCTCCGTTTCCGGGGAGGAGGGGAAAACCCGGAGAAGCGCACGTAAAAGGTGTACAGGATCGACATTGAAAGAAGCGCGTCAAAAATCTTTTGTTGTTACTGTTGTTGTTCTAAACATAGACGTGGTGGTGGTGGTGGTGGTGAAGGGAGGGAGGGAGGGAGGAGGCGGGGGTGGGTTCTTTGTTTGGGGGCTGGGAGGGTCGTCAAAGCAAAGGAGGAAAGCGTTCTTTGGGAGAGATGGGTGGCCCTGAAAAGGGCCGTTTTTGATGCTTACATGCAGGTGCACGCAACGGTACAAAGGCACGGGTGGACTTTCATTTGGCGTCTGACAGGACACCTACTGGTGTGCGTTAACCGACGCACGTAGGTGTCCTTCAGCACAGTGCCGCAGTACACACATTCGAAAGTGTCATCCCGTGCCCTTGTACCAAGGGCGTACACAGGCAGGCCCCCTTGGCATCTGCCGCATTGCCATGCTGGAGACCATGGTGGTGGTGATGATGTTTCTTTCCACAGGGGCAAAGGTTGTTTCACTGTGGCGATTTCTAAATCCCAGTTTTCAGACCTGTTGTTGTTGCTGGTGCTGCTGCTCATGATGATGATGATGATGATGATGATAATTTCTTTTAAATCAATTTTACAAGTGACACTGATCCACTCGAATCCACTCTTGTTTTATAGGAGAGGCACTGCCACCCTGCTTCCTGGTTGGTTCGCCAGGCAGCAGCACCGATTGGTTCATTCCGCTGCCTGGTCAGCACCTCGGTTTTCCAAAACGGACCGACCCCTGTGTTTCTTTTCCATAGGAAATGGATTTTACCATGGGAGAGAAAGCACAACCCCGGTTCGGCCATTCAGAGCCCAGCATGGCCCGAACGGCGCCTCTGATTGGTCGACAACCCAGGCTTCGGATTGGTCCGATTTCGATCCGGTTTTTTTCTTGGGTAGCCTTGCTATTTTTTAGGTAGACGGTCGTCTGAATGCTAAAGGAAGGTGGACCTTCATAGGTAGACATGAACGTGGGAATGCCTACGTGATGTACGTTGTGTCACCCCCCATGCCAATCGGAATGTCATGTGTGTGTGTGTGTGTGTGTGTGTGTGTGTGTGTGTGTGTGTGTGTGTGTGTGTGTGTGTGTGTGTGTGACTACAACCATTGATGTAGTATTGATATGAATAGAGAAAGATCGATACACCTGCGTGACGTTTGCACACGTGATGTACTTCATGTCGCGATGTGAACATCATGTACTTTGTGTGTTGCCATGCAAACGTAGTGTCATGTGTGTGTGTTTTCAAATTATTATTATTATTATTATTTAAGGATACCGAGGTGTTGACACTCGTGTAGGTCGACAGGCGTACTGTGACACGTGTTTTCATGCACACGTGATGTTTGACGTGGTGTACTACGTGTCTCTATTGATCTATTTATATATATCTATTTATATCTATTTATTTTATTTTTAGACGTGTGCCTCCAAGAGGTCTAGGGGAGGGTGTGGGTTCTTTGTTTTGGAGGGTAGGGGTTGGCAAAGCAAAGGATGAAAGTTGTCTTTTGGGTGAGATGGGTGGCCCTGAAAAGGGCCGTTTTGGGGAAGAAAAACTTTTCTGCTGCTGTCCAAGAAGAATCACCATGCCCAAGCTTAATGACAAGACAAGGATAGTCGAAGCGGTACTTGTAGCAATCTGGGTATGTCATCGGGGTGGCCATCGTGGCACCACTTATGGGTCCAACAAAGAAAAGAAAATAATTTTAACAGGAACTTGAACGGGAACTTGAACGGGAACTTGAACAGGAACCCAGGACACGGGAAACGTCCTCCTAGCCAGCCGGCTGTGCTACGTCATTCGTGTACCTCTGTTTCTCTTCGCAGAGATAGTGTAGTTGTAACTGCTTCTGGTGTTTCACCAGACAGGTTAGCTTGAGGTAATCGCAGTCTGGGGACCACTTGTGATGTGCCGCCCAAGGATTGTCGTGGGGTACCCATTGTCTCAGCCGCACCCCACATTGGAAACAGCACACACCATCGGCACCCTGAGTGTAGACAAAGCCCGCATGGGCAATCTCTTCAGCAGTCTGACACATTTGCGTTGGCCACGCCTCAAACGAAGCGAGCCTTCTTTCAAAGCGTAGATAATAGTGCGATGGCGTTTGACTGAGCAGTGACACCGCATCCTCAGCATTACTCTTACTCCAACATCCACAAGTATCTGTACTATCCATCACCACATCTTCGCCACGCGTCGTCGTACCACTCTTCTTTGTTTCAGCCATTCTTGATTTTATCACATCAATTTTACAAGTGACACTGACCCACTCGAATCCACTCTTGTTTTATAGGAGAAGAACCGGATCGAAAATGGCTGCTTCCTGGTTGGTCCAAAACGCAACGCACGGATTGGTTCGTTCCGGTGCCTGGTCTGCACCTCGGTTTTCTAAAGCGACCCGACCCTTGTGTTTCTTTTCCATAGGAAATGGATTTTACCATGGGAGAGAAAGCACAACTCGGTTCGGGTGCTGTCTTCTGATTGGTCGACAACCCAGGCTTCGGATTGGTCCGATTTCGATCCTGTTTTGGGGAAAGTTCGTCCATCAATCAGACGTTCAGTCCCTCTTAGAGTACAGACGTTCATCAGACACGCATCGCTATCATGACGAGCAACCAAAGTACGCCCTATCGTTTGGAGAGGAAAGATACCACCCGCTCCAGACGGTTAAGAACTGCTAATCATACCTATCGTTTGACTTTCAACCCAGACTGCTTGGACACCGTACCACCGGAACGCGTTCCCATGGAACTGCCAGCTTTATTTGACAGGGTAATCGATGACTTTTATGAACAGATGTCAGGTCAGAAGGGAGATCGTATTGGTCTAGGTATCGATCATCCCGCTTTGAACACCCCCATACGGATTCCCTTTCGTCGTTTTGAAGATCTCCATGGGCTAAATATTTTGCATGCCGTGGAAAAAGTCCAACAGTCCAACAAAGACCTGAACATCGATGCCACCATGGTTGTGACTTTAGTACACGTCGCAGATCCCGACAGGCTGGGATCGGGCAGTGGTGCTCCCCGGCTGAAAAACATGATTGGACTCGAAGCTTTTTTAACACGCAAAAAGTGCATTGTACGGATCAAGAACGAAGATCAATCCTGTTTGGCACGGGCCCTGGTGGTGGCACAGCATTATGCCCAGAAGCCCTACCCTTTGACCCCAGAATGGAAAGCCCAGCAAATGAGACTGACGAGAACGGATCGGGTCGACGTTCAAGGCATACGGGCACGGAACTTGTTTCGACGCCTTGGCCTGCCTGAAGGTCCCTGTCAGGGCCTGGACGACCTCGCACGCGTGGGACGTGCCTTGGCCCACCTGAATTATCAACTGAAAGTCTACAGTCAAGAGGTGGACCAGAGACTGTTGTACAAGTGTGATGAGGCTCCACCCCACGCCACCGTGCTGCATGTATACCATCATGATCAGCACTATGATGTCATCACTTCCATATCCGCTTTTTATGGCTCTAACCATTACTACGAACGCTGTGACCACCGTTACGATCATCCCGAAAACAATCCCTGCACCAAGGAATACCGCTGTCACCGCTGCCTCCACTCTAGCTATTGCGGACCCCAGGAAGAGCACGGGATCCCTTGCTTAACATGTCAACGTGGGTTCCCCAATCAACCGTGTTACACCCGACATCTCCAGTCACCGTCAGAGGGAAAACCTGAGCGCCTGTCAATCGATTCACAGGTGCCCGACCTATTTTCAGCTGGTCCGCGTCTTGGAAACCCCCATGGTTCACCACGAGTGCTTCGATGAAGAACATCCCTGCTTGGTGTGCCGAGAACCCATGACCCCAGACCATCGCTGTTACATGACGCCTCTCCGTGAAGAAAACGTGGAGGAGGAGGAGGGGGAGGGAGAGGAAGCGGAGAAGGAGGGGGAAGAGGAACAACATCATCTACGAGACAATGTCCAATACATCTTCTACGATTTTGAATGCATGCAAGACACGGGGGAACACATTCCAAATTTGTGAGTGGTGCAACTAGGATGTGGACGGTGCATCAGTGAAGTGAGCAAGGACTTGTGCGAAAACTGTCTATGGAGAGAAGAAGGGTATGGTCCCAGCCGTGAGATCGTGTTTCGAGGCCCCACCATGCGACATGATGTGTGTGTGTGTGGTTGACCACGTTGGCTGAAATACCCAAGAAGAAGCCCAACCAGGAGGACGAGGAGGGCAGCACACGCAAGGCGACAACAGTCCACCTGGGGAAAAAAAGAAAACGGGATGGCACCCCCTCAAGAAAGTACGCTTCCAAACGTCAACGACATGCATCACCCCAGCAGGAGGCGGAGGAGGTGGAAGCGTTGGTGAAGGGGGAAGAGGCCATGGAAGTGGAGAAAACAAAGAAGCCAAAGAACAAGAACACCACCACCCATACAGTCCTGAAGGAGGATCGCATTTATGTGATGGCCCATAATGCAAGATCCTATGATTTACAATTAATCCTGAAGGGTCTGTCCCCCCTCCTGGTGACACTCCCCACCAAGATTCGACATGGCCAACGCATTTTGCAGATGACCCTGGGACGGTTGTGTTTCGAAGACAGCTTAAATTTTATCCCTTACCCCCTGAAAGCCTTTCCCAAGAGCTTTGGGCTGAAAGAACTGAAGAAAGGGTACTTTCCACATTTTTTCAATACCGAAGCCAACCAGACCTACAGAGGTCCCTATCCACCAGCCGTCATGTACGATCCCGATGGCATGTCTCCCGCGGAACGCACAGTCTTCCTCCAGTGGCATACCCAAAAAGTGCAAGAAGGAACCTTGTTCGACTTACAAGGAGAACTTTTAGCCTACTGCCAGAGCGATGTGGACATTTTGAGACGGGAATGCGCCGACTTCCGATAGAACGCCATCCACTCGGTTGGCATGGATCCCTTTGTAGAAGTGATAACAGCTGCAGTGTTCACCATGAAATCCTTCCGAAAACACGACCTGAAACCCAATACCATCGCCATTCTTCCACCTCAAGGCTACCAACCCAAGAGAAACTATTCCCAGGCCTGTATGCACTGGCTCCAATATCTGATGGAAACGGACCCCCATCTGCACCTCCAGCATGCCAGGAATGGAGGTGAAAAAGAGTTCACGTGTGGACAGGGCCAACATCGGTACAGCGTGGATGGCTACGATCCAGCGACAGGCACCATCTACGAATTCCTGGGCTGTTTCTGGCATGGGTGCCAGGCCTGTCACAAGACCCAACGTGGAGAACCACATCCCGTCCTGGGCACGTCGTTGGGAGCCCGTTACACGGACACCCACTACCGCTTGAGTCACTTGAGTCAACACCCTGAGGTGAAACGGATCGTCACCCTGTGGGAGCACGAGTTTACGAAAATGCAACGGGAGGACTCCGCTCTGCGTGCTTTCTTGCAGGGACCCCACTGTATTCACGTCCCTGGGCCGCTCAACCCTCGCGACGCCTTCTATGGAGGACGCACCAATGCCACGCGATTATGCTACAAAGCCCAAGAAGGTGAAACCATCAAGTACATCGATGTTTGTTCCCTTTATCCATACATTTGTAAGACCGGAGCGTTTCCCACGGGACACTCGACCCTTCTCCATCAACCCCCTGTGGACACGTTGTTTGAACTGAAAGGCCTGATCGAATGCCGTGTCCTACCCACGAAACGACTCTACCATCCGCTACTGCCTCCTGCTTTGTCCTTCGTGCCGTTCGTGTGCCGATACCCGGTCAGACTCCCCTGCGAGCACACGGACGAAGAGAGGTCATGGGTGGGGACGTACGCCACCGTAGAACTCCAGGAAGCCGTGAAGAAGTATGACTACCAGGTGCTTCAGATCTACGACGTTTGGCATTTTGACACCTTTGCACAGCATGATCCCGACACCCAGCAAGTGGGACTCTTTGACACTTACATCGAACGACATTTCAAGGAGAAGCTCGAAGCCAGCGGATACCCCGAAGGATGTATGGATCACGACGCTTACATCCAGGAGATCTACGACAAAGAAGGTATTGGGTTGGACAAGGACCGCATCGAAAAAAATCCAGGACGTCGCACGATTGCCAAGATGCAACTGAATTCCCTCTAGGGCAAGTTTGGGCAAAGGGTAGACTACAGTCAGAACGTCTATATGAACGATCCTGTACAGTACTTTGCCTTGTGGAGGGATGAACGCAATACCATCGAGGATGTGACCGTTGTCAACGAACACATGGTGGAAGTGACCTATACCCAGCAGAAAGAATTCCAAACCCCTCATTCTCATTTCAATGTCGCCATCGCTGCTTGGGTCACCGCCCAAGCACGTTTCAAGCTGTACGAGACCCTTGCCCTGGTGGACCGCAGGGTCTTGTACTTTGACACAGACAGCATCATTTACATTCATCGACCCCACGACGCGAATCCAGAGCTGGGCCATTCGTTGGGTGAGTTTACAGATGAACTGGACGGAAACACCATCAAGACGTTTGTGTCAGGAGGCCCCAAAAACTATGGCTATGAGTTAATGAACCCCAGACCTGATGGAACGCGCACGACCTGCAAAGTGCGGGGGTTCACTTTGAATTACCGAAACCAACACCATCTCAACTTTGACACCATGAAAGGACTGATACTGGGACAACGGCCTGGAAAAGAGGGGGGGAAAATCAGTTTGGATTACCCTCATCAGATCATTCGAAAAGGACCTCGGCACGAAAACCCACTTGTGACCTGACCCACCCGAAAAAGACTATCGTACCGTGTACGACAAGCGATGTCTCGTCTACGACGAAACCACAGGGCTACCTGTAGACGCGCCGCCCTTTGGGTACAGAGACGACTTTCTATAAAAAAATTTCATGACAGCGGATCGAAACTGAATCGACATGGACCCCTACAGAAAAAAATCTGACCAATCCGTAGCCTGGGTTGTCGACCAATCAGAGGCCGCGCTCGGGCCATGGTGGGCTCTGATTGGTCGAACCGAGGTTGTGCTTTCTCTCTCACGTTACAAGCCTTACCCTATGGAAAAGAAACACAAAGGTCGGTCCAGTTTGGAAAATTTGAGACTCAGACCAGACACCGGAACGGGCCAATCAGAAAGCAGGACCTCCGTGGCTTTTAATACGACCGACGCTCTCCCGTCATCATTTTTCACTGAACGGACCAAGCAACAACATCGCCCCTCTGATTGATGTTCCTCACGTTGTGTTGGTTGTTGGCGTTTTATCTGGAAGAAACACGTGTTTGGAGAGAGTACCATCAAGTGTTGACACACATCCGTGAAGACTTGGAAAGAAACAACAACAATGAACAGAACATCCGGACAACATCATGTCGAAACGGTTGAATGACAAGACACGAAGCGACATGAGTGGCCAAGGAAGCAGTGGAGATGGGAGCGGTGACATGACTGCTGAACTGTGGGGTGAAGTGTACGATTTGATGTGTTTAAAGATGAAGACCGACGACGCGTACGCCAAGTTACGTGCGAAGGGCGACGACATGATGTGCGAACAGATACGTTCAAAGATGAGGAAGCTGACTGAACCCCAGAAAGGAGCATCGAAGAAGACGATAAAGAAGATCCAGAAGAAAAAGACAAGCAAACCCACAGCAGTTGTTGTCCCCACAGCAGCAGCAACACCCACCACCACCACAGCGCCAGTCACCACCACCACCACCACCACCACCACAGCAGCAACAGCAACAACAGCAGCAGTGACAACAGACATCGAAACGAAGGGGACATCCTTTTTGAAACCTGCAACACCTGCAACGCCTGCAAAAAGACGATTACGGAAGAAATTATCTCTGAAGATCCCTCCTCAAGAACAGCTGTAAGTACCCTGCTCTTCTTTGTCTCAGTCATTCTTGATGTGATGTTGATGTTGATGATGATGATGTTGATGTTGATGATGACTATACCTATTCATATGATGAATTGACTCTGTCCTATGATTGACAGGACCCCTGATGTCAGTTCAGCCCAGTCCGTGCTAGAACAGTGGTGGGAACAAACCCCTCGGGAGCCCACCTATTCACCGAATGCACCTGTGACGATGGCGACGGGTGACCGTAATGATCATGAAGCGCTCAAGCTGGTCACTCTCCCTTCCATGGATCTGGACACGCTCCCCCTGCTTGAGGCTTCTTGGTCACAAGCATCACCGGAAGATGTTCATGTCTACTCCTCAGGTATGCCCATGGTTTGCGACGATGATGATGATGATGATGATGATGACAACGTTGACCTGGATCCTTATGGAGAAGCTCAACTCACTCCCCTACAACGCGAATGTCGTGTTTGCCGACACAACAACATGTTAAGATACATCAGTTGCAACAGCGGGCAAGTGATGCGTCATGTCTGTTGTCTGGAGCTCATAGACTGTACTTGTATGTTGACCTATGACAAGTATGATGACATGCCTATCACATCTGAGGATCACATCTTATGGTGATCCTCCTCTTCACTCGAAGAACTTTACAACACGTAAGCTGCAACCGTAGTCAAGTGATGTGTCATGTCTGTTTCAGGGAGGCCATAGACTGTACTTGTTTAACGGATGGACCTCTCTCATGTTTGAGGGAGGACCACATCTTATGGGATTGAAGATAGAAGAGCTTGAAGATGAAAGAGGAAAACATTGTCGCGTTATTGTTGTTGTTGTTGTAGGGACATGCAAAGCACTCCCTCCTCCATTGTCTTTTCATATTTCCATTGTATCTGGTTGTGATTGTTTTTTTCATTATTAAACAGTGATTGATTGAACTGACTCTTTGTGTCTTGATTGATCTCAACTCCAATAGAGTGCCGAACCGAGGGTAGAGGTTGAGTTGAGATGTCGTCTACGTTGTCTGTCTGTCTGTCTGTATGTCTGTCATGTCAGTGCACACAAAAGTGTAAAATTAAAATAAAAATAGATAAAAGAGAAAGGCCATGCTTGAAAGATCAGCTGCCTGGTGTCAGTCATTCCAGTACGCATCACCACACCCACCGTGTGACATGTCATGTCATGTATCATGTCATGGATCATGCCGTGTGTCCGTCAACCCAAACACAGGATGACGTCACGTGATGAGGTGGATGAGGTGGAGGAGGTGGAAGCTAAGGTCATGACCTTCCGTTGAAGGGAGTAGGGTGGAGAGTTTCATAAAAGCAGGCGAACCCTCAGACCTTCTTTCAGTGAAGTCACAGTCATCATGGAGCAAAGACGTTCTATGAATGCCATGTCATCCTCCCCAGATGTCGTCACCGATTCCGAGTGGGTGTCTGAAAAGGCGGGAGAACAAGAAGCGAGAAAACGTCCACTCTTTATGGACGACACACTCTTGATGGACGACACACATGGCGACTCAGTGACATTCTGGAGAGACCTTTTCCTTCTTACACCTTGTGTCATCCTTCTCATCCCAACTATGATTCATTTCAAGAACGTCTGAGGTCTTTTCAAACGTGGCCTAAACAGATTACCCAGACCCCTTATGACATGGCCATGGCTGGCTATTTCTATCCAGGACGAGGTGACCGTGTTATCTGTTATTGCTGCGGTGTGGCACTCCGCCAATTGGAAGCCACAGACCAACCCTGGAAAGAACATCTGAAGCACGCCAAAGTCCCCTGCGAATACTTGTGTGTGTTTTGTCCCTATGGAGAAGTGAACGACGTTTGGTGTCCTAAGAATCACGGAAACGAAGAGTCGAGTGTCTTGTTCACCCCAAGTGACAAAGTTTCTTTTTTCAAAGTGTACAGACGTTCATACCCTTGTGGTCACCCCTCGTGGTCACCCCCGTGGTCACCCCTCTTGTTCACAAAAATCACAGGGATGTCCCCCCTCATCCTGTGACTTTTGTTTTGTGGTGTTGGTTCATGTGATCAGGGGGATTAAAAAAAGTTGAACTCATAGTAGTGTTATGTTGTCTGTAGGATGAAGAAAAAAACAAAACAGGATCGAAATGCACACCCTGATAAAAACCGGATCGAAATCGGACCAATCCGAAGCCTGGGTTGTCGACCAATCAGAGACCGTGCTCGGACTATGCAGGGCTCTGATTGGTCAAACCGGGGTTGTGCTTTCTCTCCCATGGTAAAATCCATTTCCTATGGAAAAGAAACACAGGGGTCGGTCCGTTTTGGAAAACCGAGGTGCAGGCCAGGCACCGGAACGAACCAATCGGGGGCGCTGCCTGGGGAACCAATCAGGAAGCAGGGTGTCAGTCCCTCTCCTATAAAAACAAAACAAGAGCGAAGCCACTCACACACACTGCATTCTATGAAACCCATCATGCCAGCTCGATACAGTTGTATGAAGAGCCAGACCGACAGTCACAGTTACCTGTACTGCCCTGAATAACATGCCTCGAGTGTCACGATCAAGGTCACCGTCTGTCCGAAGATGAACAGTCAAGAGAAGCAGAACCTGGGCCCCTGTTACAACTGTCAGTCATGGGTCATTTCGCTGCAGATTGCCCAGAACCCAGTCGAAAGAAGACACCCCAACGCACCTGTTACAACTGCCAAGTCGTGGGTCATTTCGCTGCAGATTGCCCAGAACCTAGTCGAAAGAAAACGTTAGCAACACCGTCCACGTCGACACCCGTGTCATCCGTGGCACCCATGGCACCCATGGCACCCATGGCACCCGTGACACCCGTGGCACAAGTGCTTCATCTCATCGAAGACATGCATGCTGATGTCCTCGACCTAAAAGAATGCCTCAAACAACTCCGTGTAGGCATCACACCTCGTCTAGAGAAAAGAAAACGGAACAGGAGCCCCTCAAGAAAACACGCTTCAAAGCGCCGACGACACCTTCAGTCCGAGGATGAGATGGAAGTAGAGGATGAAGAAGATAGATCATCTGAACAAAGTGACTAACGCATGGGCCATGCTGCCCCACTGTTTTTACCAGTTTCCCATCGTTTGCAGTTTTTCCAGTGTTCCAGTGTTCCTGCCGTTTCCTGTCGTTTCCAGTTTCCAGTTTGTTTTCCAACGGCCCTTTTCAGGGACACCAATCTCTCCCGAACGAACGCTTTCCTCCTTTGCTTTGACGACCCTCCAACCCCCCAAACAAAGAACCCACCCCCGCCTTCTCCCTCCCTCCCTCCCTCCCTTCACCACCACCACCACCACCACGTCTATGTTTAGAACAACAACAACAACAACAACAAAAGATTTTTGACGCGCTTCTTTCAATGTCGATCCTGTTCACCTTTTACGTGCGCTTCTCCGGGTTTTCCCCTCCTCCCCGGAAACGGAGGCGACGCCATCTTGGAGGCGTACGACACCGGAAACGGACGTGCCGCCATCTTGGAGGCGCGCGCCACCGGAAACGGAAGTGCCGCCATCTTGGATGCGCGCGCAAGTCCCATCATGCACTGCGCAGGTCACGTGACCGGAAGTGACGTCACAGAGGTCACGTGATCCTCTCGACCAATCAGAAGCCAGGAGCGGTTCCAGAATGCTGAGCGGTTCTACACTGATGCATACAACTACTCATCACGGCAACGGCCATGGTAACCCGATACACGTGAGTTCCGTGCAAACTTAAATGCACATGCGTTCCCCCATTTCTTGCCCTATAAAAACCCACCCGGATCAGATAACATTCATTCGTTATTGAATTGCTACCACGTGCCAAGATTGACAAGAAATCAGCGACACCAAAGCCCTTGGATGATTGCAAGCTGAGACTCGTGGGGTGGCCCGAACATCATGGTGTGGGGGTGGAATTGGTCTTGCCCAGAGGGTCGGCCCCGTGGTCTTCCTGAACATCGGTCAAGGGAGAGGCAATGATGTCACAACAGCTCGGTACATTGAACAAGTCTTCAGACCACACGCCGTACCTCATTTGGCACGTCGCCGCAACCACGAGTTTCAGCATGATAACGCCCGTGCCCATACTCCGAGAGCAACATGCGACTTCCTCCAGCAGAATGGCATCAAAACCATGCTGTGGCCTGCCCTTAGACCCGATTTAAATCCCACTGAGCATTTGTGGGATTCAGAGACGGCGGAATGACGTCCGACCAAGGCCGACAACTGCAGCTGAACTGCGTCAGGCGTTCCTCAGAGTGTGGGCTCAAGTGACTATGGCCTTCATCAACCGCCTCATCCATTCCATGTGTCGACGATGCACGTGCAGTCATCAATGCACATGGCGGACACACGAGATACTGACTTGTGATGCCATTTTCTCAGCGACTGGTGTTGTGTTTCACTTTAAGAACATTTGACACCTTAACTTCAACCCTTGATGATCAGTTTTGCAAAGTTTCATCTTTTTAATATGTCTCAAAGTATGTTTACAGTGTTTGGACAAAGAAGATTGTTCATATATCTATCCATGGTGACGTTTCTTTTGCGGTTCAGTATATGTTAATTAATATGTTAATAATCTGTTATCTTGGACAGTGGATTTGTCAAAAGTAAGTGTTTATATATGTAGGTTTACTAAAGCAGACGGAATATACCAATATCTGGGCGTGAAGTGCCATTGTAAAAACAACATATTGTGTTCAAAGGATGAGCCTATACATGGATTGATTGCTTATTGTTATCTAACTCTATGGACTTGTTTTAAAGAACCGTGGATATCATGAACATAGTTGTCACGTGTGCCATCTCAGCAGACAGATGAGACTTGACACCTATGTGAAACTTCTAGGAGAGGCATTAGAAGTTGGAGTACTAATTACGGATAAGATATATGGATGAACAACTTCTGTATTACAATTAGGGGGGACGTCTCGGGGTAGGTTCTAACAGCGTTATCAAGGATAACGGTTGTAATTACGATATTTGCATTTTGTTTTCATTCATTTGCTGTAGCAAGAAAGCGGGAGACCTCAACGATGACTGATCAAATTGTTCAATGCGTTAAACATATATCCGGCAATAGCAATCAGTTGTTCCTGTAATGGTCATGCACTTTAAGATGTTTTCATTTTTTGATGCTTCGGTTAGGTATCAAGGTAGACTATTTTCATTTTCTTAAGCCCAATAGCGTGCGCTGTGCACAAGTCTATTTATAGATGCATGTAATCAAGGCATGTAAGGCATGCACAGAGCCACATGGCAGTTGGCTCGGTAGCCACATGATTTGATAAAAGTGGTCAACAACTAGGTAAATACAACAGCATCTTTGCTAATATCTTTAGTTTTTTATGTATAATTGTGATATTATGTATTTGAATTAATTACATTGCTTCCGGTAAATAACATTTTGTAATTACCATAAAGTTTCTAATGTGTCCTAAAATCAATGTTCTTTTCAAAGAAATGTTTTTGAGTATAGTTTATTTGTATTTACAATCTAGAGTAATGGTATTTTTGCTTTATTTGCAGACAATCATGAAATGAAATGAGTTGAAATGACATGAAATGACAATTGGAACATGAAATACTCATGAAACAGAATAAAATAGACAGAAATCCAAAGATGGAATTGTTTTCATTTGAAAAGTATCAGTGTAATTTTTAAAGTGAACATGCATTGACTAGTTGACCATTATGAATAGAGAGATAGATATAGAAGATCATGTGACAGATGAACCTATAGATGACCTAGTAACTGTCAGTGAGACAGGTGAAGACTCACCGATTAGACGCGGGAGACCTAGGACTGAAAAGGGTAGATTTTTTAAAATTGAATTGAAAGAAATTAAAGACTTTGATTAAGAAGCTAAGGACTAAGTACACTCAAATAGAGCAGTTAGTTACTGATGTTTGTGATAGTCGTGAGCTCGTAGAAGAC